AACAACTCCAGATCTCGAAAACGAGATCCGCCCATACGTACCACTGTTGAGAGTTGCAAGTGCCAGGGCAACGAGCCATAATCATAATGTGAAGACCGTCTGCTCTCAGTATGTGCACTTGGTTGTTATTACCCGTTTTAGCGACTCATTATTTGTGCGCAAGTAAGTGTCAAGCGTAACACCCAGAACACCCTCCCGATACGGCTTGGTGGTGTGAGTATCAAGGGCCAGAAAAGGAAAACGAACGCGGGAGGAGGAGAATTGAGGAAGAGGAGAGGGAGGAGTAGGAGGGGCAGCAGTAACAGCAGAAGGAGGAGGGGAGGAGACAAAGGGGGGTGGAAGAGGGTAGGCCTCCTCATCTGTCTCTTCCTCCTCCGACATCCCTCTTCCTCCTCCCCTCTGCCCCGTCACTCTCCTCCTCGTCATCCCTTCCCATCTCCCCTCCTTTGCCTTCCCCGCTCAACCGCCCACGCCAAGAGGGCTGGTTGGATCATCATCCTCCACCTCCTGCTGCTGCTGTTCCTCATCAATATCCTCCTCCTCACTCTTCCTCCATAGCCATTTCAGCCCTAGCCATCCCCCACCAGGGCGAGCGCGCTGGCATGTCTCCGCTTCGCTGGTGGGATACGTGACCATGCGTGACCAGCACATGCGTTCCAAGAATAAGTACAATTCCCTGGCGGCCCGAATCAGGTTGCTAAAAAGAACTCGCAAATCAGCCTCGATTCCAGTCTGCACGCGGCGCGTCTCCGCCGTCACCCGTTCCTCTGCGAGCCGGTTGAGCGCAACGTGCACTTCCCGTCGCAGGCCATTGCGCTAACCCACGCTTTTTTGGGGCAGCGGATTTACCAGCGTGATCGTCGACTCTTTCGTGCTGCGGCTGCGGCACGTCATCATGTCTATGGAGTGGCTGCTGAGCCCTAGCGATGGGTGCCGGTTTTACCCTCGCACGCGCCGTCTTCTTCAACGAGGTGTGGTTTGCGAAGTAATGTTCCTGAATAGGTCAAGCGCGGGGAGACACCAGTCTTGATGCCAAAGCCGACAGGTTACATAGCCACTTGCAAATCCTGCAAGGGGGAGGACCGGTTTGCAGAGCTTGGAAAACCATTGCCCAACTCGACTGGACATGGCCCAGGTTTGGCACCACGTACGACGATTGGGGCACCCGCGGATCCACGAGCGCCATCTGGCCTTCTCACGCACATGTTCAGGGCCGCACAACGGAGATGTTATCTCCGACGCATCCCAATTACAAGACACGACCTCGGCGCCGTCGCCGCAGTCAAGCAGGGCCTGGATTACTATGCTAACAGGTGGCTCCTCAGAACTAAATATTAAGCCAAATGCACTGCCTGGCAACTCGGCCTCCTCTGTAACTACATCTGCGGGGGTGACCACACCCAGCAGGGGAAAGTGAAGGCTGGCATCTCCCCTGTGCAGAAGCCCAAGAGCACACGGCGCGGAGATGTCCATGTTGGGAAAACCAGAGGACTGCCGTCAAAACCATGACCACTGAGCAGCAATGGCAGGATCTTCCACCACACACCAGGCATTGTGGCCTGTTGGAAGAAGACCCTGCCCTCCTCGATTCACGGGCTGCCGTGGCCCATGATCAGCTTCCAAAGCCCGCCCTGCGACCACCACAAGGGGACCCAGACGAAGAATCCGACCAAGAGTACACCGATGAACACGGAGCCTGATGGGATCACGCGGCGATGGATGGGGCCGGTTCCACCCGAGCTGACTCTTTGCTGGCCAGGGCAGATTTCGGTGTTTATAGTACGGGCCCGACCACCGACTCAACCGCTCTGCCTGCGTCCACAGGCTGGCCCAGTCCGCGCAACAGGCAGAAACATTGGCTAGGCTCCATCTGGTAGCCACGGCCGACGGCCGAAAGACCGGCGTGCGTCTTCGTCAAAAGTCAGGCGGTCGTCGACGGGCTCGAAGACGTGCTTTGGGGAAAACCACCACACCGCGTGGGGCCACAAGCCGACCTGTGGCAGAAAAATTCACTTGGTGATCCTAGCAAAACCTGATTTCTTCAAAGTCCCAAGGGTGGGAAACCATTTCTTGGCGGAGCAAGGTGTCAACGAAGGGCGCATCACTCCGATCGCTGAAGCGTTCAACCGACATGCTGACGAACTCGCCACCTCAGGAGCGAGGCTCCACTGCATCCCACAATGTGTGGTGGGCGCCACCAAGAGGCGACACAAGGTAGCCGCTGTTCTACACACCACGGCCGCTGCCATCTATGACCTGCGACACCGGACGTTGCCGCTCCCTCACAAGAGAGCGGGATATTCCATGTCGGGGCTCTCTAAGACGGCACCCCATTGTCCAATGGGGGCACAGCTCAGGCGCACAAGGAGGACCACCTCCCATGAACGGGCCACCAGGTCCCGACCACATTGACGAATTCGGCGACCCGTGGTCCACACCCACGGACGACCTCGAAGGCGAGGACCTCGATCAGCGAGAGCTCGGTGCTTCTCCCAACGGCGAGGAAGACAGCGACTTCCCCACCCACAGACACCCCCCTGACTAGAACCACGCTGCCGTGGACCGCCCCGTTGCACCGGCCAGCGCCCAGCCCGCCAACGACCAGGCGAGTCCGAGCGCGGCGGCCACCCATCACGCCCGAGGTGGCCAGCCCTCTCGGTCGGCCAACAAGGTTTCCGACAGGGGCGGCGGCCAGCCGCGGAGCGCCGGCCACCAGTCAGGAGGGGAAAAAACACACAGACACAATTAGTTGGCGATTCCCAGAAAATATCGGAAAATATGGGAAGTGGGGGGGAAGACAAAAACCCAGAAAATATTGGAAAATATAAGGGATATATTTATTTGTGTGTATTTATTTGTGTGTCCCAGTTCCCCTTCAACCAGGCCAGCGGGACCGCCCAACGCACGGACCGCAGACAAGCCTTCGCGCAACACGTCACGGCGGCGGACAGCAGGCAACAAAGCGAGCGCCAGCCAGCTAGCGCTCTCCCTCAGACAACGACAGGCGCAAGCGGCCCCGCTGATCGACGGGTTCGGCCGAGCGGGCGCCCGCGTGGGCCCGACAAAATGATCGGTGTTTCCCTCTGCGCGTGCATCATTTTGCGGCGCTGGGCTTCCCGGCGCCTTCCGGCCTGCGGCCGCTCCGGCAGCATCCCTCCTCGGCAGCCTCCAAGCCTTTTCCTCACCGAGTGCGCTCCACTGCTCGCAAAGTGCCTGCTCGCAGACGTCCGGAAAAAGACACGTGCCTGCTTTGATGCCACCTACAGTCGGGGCCCTGAAGAAGGAACGCTTTCCGTTGGGGAGGGGCTCCGTGTTCCTTAAGTGTTTCACAGCTTGCCTCAGGTTTTCCTTATGAATTCGACAGGAAGTCGAAGGTTAACTTATGGAAAAAAGAGGCCTCGTTCCTTATTTAGGGTTCCTTAGGTCAAGCCCCCGACTGTATCCTAGATCCCCCGCGGCGCACCCAGGCCATCTGCGAGCAGTTGCTTTCGCGAGCAGTGGAACGCCGCGCCCGTCTGTTTCACGACGCTCCGCGGGCGGCGCGCCGGTGCTATGGCCCCACCTCCTCCCCCCACGGGGCAGAGTGGGCACCTGCACCGCCGTCCCCTCTGCTGGCGCCGCCGCGGGGAGCGCCCCGAGACGGTGCCCTTCATTGTCTTTATATATATATATATATATATATATATATATATACATACGTGTATATATATATACACATTTAAAACAACAATAACAATAACAACAACAACAACAACAACAACAACAACAACAACAACAACAACAACAACAACAACAACAACAACAACAACAACAACAACAACAAAACACAAAAAAACTGTGCCTTTCACTGTCCTGAGCGCTGCATCGCGCAAGCCGGCGCGCATGCAGAGGCAGCGCTCCTGCCGCGGGGGCGCGCAGACGGGCCCCCGCGGCGGCCTGCTCGCCGCCGCCCGCCCCTACCCTACTTGTCCAGACGGGGCGGGCCTCCTGCGCCGCGCCAGGGGGGGGAGGGCAATCCACCACCACTGTTGCGCATGCGGCGCCTCCCGCTAGCGCGGGAACGGCTTGCCGGGCGCGCGCAGCCTGGGGGCCCGAAGTGTTGCGATAATTGTCTCTCTCTCTCTCTTGCTCTCTTCCTCTCTTCCTCTCTCTCTCTTTCTCTTGCTCTCTTCGTCTCTGCTTCTTGTTTGTTCTCTCTCTCTCTCTCTTTCCCTCTCGCTCTCTCTCTCTCTCACTTTTGTTGTCTCTCTCTCTCTCTTTCTCTCTCTCTCTCTCTTGCGGAAAACTGAGACCGATCAAACGAACTTCATCATGATCGATAGAGGGGTGAGAGATCGACACACAGAGAGATGCGCGAAAGAAGGGGGGTAAAGAGAGAAAGAGAGAGAGAGAGGGAGAGAGAGTTAGAGAACGAGCATCCATCAACAAACACGGGAACGCTAAGAAACCGAGTCGGCCCCGTTTGGCCCGTTTGGGGGGGCCCTCTTCAGGCCCGAACAAGGCAGGCAGGAAGACGCGACAAGGCCCAAGAGATTTGGTAATGTCTGGCCCAGGTCCCTTAAAGAGTCTTCCAGATTGGGGACTTGAGGCCCCAGGGGAATGAGCAAGGGACCTGAAGACACTCGAACTCGCAGGTGGCGGATTCATGAGGCGGGGATTTTGAAAGGAAGGATGAATTTCAGCATCGTCGAACACATATTGGGTCCACTCGGGTCCTCCCCCTCCCATCAGCATGGCATTTTCGGGCTGTGTGCACCAGCCTCATCCTCCTCGTCCCTTCTCCGTGGTCGCTTCTCCCGTCTCCATCCTCCACCAACTCCTCCTCCTCCATCCTCCACCAACTCCTCCTCCTCCTCCTCCTCCTCCTCCTCCTCCTCCTCCTCCTCCTCCTCCTCCTCCTCCTCCTGCTCCTGCTCCTTCTTCTTCATCCAACTCTTCCTTCCCCTCCCGTCTCCTCTCCCCGCCCTCGCTACCTCCTCCAAAACTTCCGCCGCACGCAGGCGCGCTTGGAAGGCCGACTTCGTGGAACAGTCTCTACGGCACACCACACGCATGATCGTCACCACCCGGTGGTACCTGTACGCCACTGGGTCGGCCGCCGCCGCCATGGTCGTCTTGCACGTGGCCCGCACGGACGGCACGCTTCCCGTCTTCTGGGACACTGGGAGTAGTAGCCCAAGCCACGGGGTGGTCGAGGTCGAGGCGCAGGTCATCGGGGGTCAGCAGTCAGTCCTGCCCGGGGTCAGTCAATCCCTACTGATCCCATCTAGAAGTACCCACTTCGGGGGCCACGAGAAACCGACACACCCGTGCCGTTCAGTACTGGATGGTGTGTTGGAATTGGGACGTGACCTTGAATTGGAATCCGAGATCGAGTGCCTTACGGAACCCTAGCCCGATCCCGAAGACCCAAACATAATTCCCTACCTAGGCTCTGCCTAGAAGGGATCTGACTCTCTTAGCTTAAAGGGGCCGGGCAGTGGAACACGCCCTGGGCGGTTCCCCCAGTCCCCTGGGAGCGGATCCCCCCAGTCCCCTGGGAGTTTTAGCTTTAGCTTTAGCTTTAGCTTAGCTTTAGCTTAGCTTTAGCTTAGCTGTAGCTTAGCTTTAGCTTAGCGTTTCGCTTAGCTTTTCGCTTAGCGTTTAGCTTAGTCTCAGCTTAGCTTTAGCTTAGCTGTAGCTTAGCTTTAGCTTAGCTGTAGCTTAGCTTTAGCTTAGCTTTAGCTTAGATTTAGCTTAGCTTTAGCTTAGCGTTAGCTTAGCTTTAGCTTAGCTGTAGCGTAGCTTTAGCTCAGCTTTAGCTCAGCTTTCGCTCAGCTTTAGCTCAGCTTTAGCTTAGCTTTAGCTTAGCTTTAGCTTAGCTTTAGCTTAGCTTTAGCTTAGCTTTAGCTTAGCTTTAGCTTAGCTGTGGCTTAGCTTTAGCTTAGCTTAGCGTTACTGTTAGGGATAATTAAAAGTATCTCAGTGCGACCCTACCTAGGGGTTGGAACCCCTAGGAAAGCAGCATTAGTAGTAACAGTAACGCTAAGCTAAAGCTAAGCTAAAGCTAAGCTAAAGCTAAGCCACAGCTAAGCTAAAGCTAAGCTAAAGCTGAGCTAAAGCTAAGCTAAAGCTACAGCTAAGCTAAGCTAAAGCTAAGCTACAGCTAAGCTAAAGCTAAGCTAAACGCTAAGCGAAAAGCTAAGCTAAAGCTAGGCTACAGCTAAGCTAAAGCTAAGCTAAAGCTAAAGCTAAAGCTCCCAGGGGACTGGGGGGAACCGATCCCAGGGGACTGGGGGAACCGCCCGGGGCGCTTTGCACTGCCCGGCCCCTTTAAGCTAAGAGAGTAAGAACCCTTCTAGGCAGAGCCTAGGTAGGGAAAAACCGCACCAAGAGACCTGACCCCTAACCCCGAGATCCACACCCTAACCCGAAGACCTTAGCCCAGTGATCTGAATGGCATGACCTTAGCCTTCAGACCTTGAACCGAACCCTAGAACCTGAACCCTAGGACCGCAAGCATAGTCCTAAAACCTCACCCCGGAAATAGAACCCTAACCTTCTAACATTAGCCAGGTCGCATGTAACCCTAGCCAGTGCTCCTGACACGAATACCCGAATCATAACCCTAAAATCTTAATTTCGGGGGGGGGGGGGGGGGGCACCCCTCACCCGAAGACCTCACCGCTAAGACCTTAACCCGAACCTTCAGACCCCGAGCCCTAGGACCCTGACCGTACGACTGTAAGCCTGAGACTGCAAATATAACCTCAAAAACAATTTTTCCTTGAAGCCCTAAACCCAGAACCCTCCCTCAACGGTCTACATACTAATACCCCAAGCCCATGCAAGAATCCCCTCACGCGAATATGGCAAGCACAAGTCTGGGTAAGTAGGACTGCAGCCCTCGCCCAAAACAGTTGACCTCTACACTGTAGCATTAGCCCTCCTACTCCTCGAGCGCAGGGACCCTCACCCGAACCCCGCAAGTCGAACCCGCACACCCGATCCCTAACCCTACAACCCTAACCAGGTTTAGAATCTACGGACCCGAAAGGGTGGGCCGGGAGGGCAGACCCTAGCGGGCGGGTCGGGCTGGCCGGGCGGGCGGATTCTAACAGGCGGACATGAACGTGGGCGGGGCGGCTGTCAAGCAAGCAGGATGGCAGACACGGGCGAGTCGAGCGAGTGGGGTCAGGCGGCCATTGGGGCGGGGCGAGCGGGCGGGCCACTGGACAGATTTCGCGCAACCAACCGGGCGGGTTTGGACCCTGGCGGGCGGGTTGGGCGGACCCTGACGGTCGGGTCCGGCGGGCGGATCTGGAGGGGCCGGTCGGGCGGGTCGCGCGGGCGGGTCATGCCAGCGTGCGGATGGGATTTCAAGTGAGTGGGCGAAGAGCCCTAGCGGGCGGGACGGGCGGGCCCTGACGCGCGGCCGGGCCAGGCGGACCCTAACAGGCGGGCGGATTGGCGGACTCTGGCGGATGCCACGCCTGCCAGATCCAGCGCGGGAAGCAGCGCACAGAATTGAGAGTCGGAGTTTTGTTGGGGATCCAGAGCTGAGCTTGGGCACTGGGGCACTGGGGCTGCTCTGCTGACCCGAGGACACTGTCGAGATGCTTCTGTGCCTCCTCCAGAGTGTGGAGTTGTTGATCGTATGGGCGTATGCTGTGGCAAGGTCAACCCAAGAACTGTTCGACATAGCCTTTGGCAGGCTCCTCTACGAGTCCGCCATGCTTCCCTCCGTGCTGATGAGAAGCCTTGGTAGCCAGAGCTCCCAGCTCTCGCTGTCCTACTTCGCGTCCCTGCGCCTCCTGCACGTCTGGAGACACCTGATCGCCACGATGCCCTCCAAAGACAGACTCACCTTCCAGCTGGCCGACATGGTTGTGACGCTCTTCGCCGCGACTTTCTGCATAGCTTCTCTTATGGCTCAGGTGGAGATGCTGTCCGGCAACGAGTGGGACCCACTCCAGGCATCCAGCGTGTTTCTAGAGGGATCTGGGAATCTGACAGCAACGGAGATGGAGATTTGGAAGGTATGGAGCATGTCCTCCAGCTTCTATTTCATGCTCGCAAGCGTCAGCACCGTCGGCTACGGGGACCTCGCGCCCAGGACCACGTTCGGCAGGCTGATCGCCACATCGGCCGCTGTCCCAGGGGCGTGGCTGGTGCTGAAGACCTTTCTGGGTATCTCCCAAGCTCTCAGCAACGGTCTGACAGTGGGCGGCAGTTACGGAGCCATCAAAGGCAGTAAGCACGCCGTCGTGGCTGGGACTGCGAGCAAGCAAGTGCTCAGCGATTTCATTTCGGAACTCTACCACGAGGACCACGAGACCGAGAGCGAGGACCTGAACCTTGTGATTCTCGTGATGCCAGGGCAGCGCGAGGTGATCAAGGGGATGAAAGCTTTTCTGAGGGAGAGACAGAATGCGAGGGTGCGTTATAGGGTCTGGCTGTTGCAGGGCACGGCGCTCTTAGACGTAGACCTCCGCCGCGCGCACTTCGAGCAGGCCAACATGGGTTTTTTGCTGCCCAACCTCTACGCTACGGATCCAGAGCAGGAGGACCTGGAGAATTGCCTCCGTGCCATGAACATGCGGCGCTACGCACCGCACGTTCGCATGGTGGCGTTGCTGCTCAACGTGTCGAAAATTGGAATCGGCATGTCCGCTGGCCTGACGCGTGGTGACATAATTTGCGTGGACGAAATGAAACACGGCATGATGGGCAAGTCATGCGAGACCCCAGGGTTCCTGACCATGGCTTGCACCCTGTACAAGAGCGCCAACAATGATTCGGTGAAGGATTTCATCAAAAATATGCCCGAGTGGTTCGATAGCTACATGAGCGGGCTGTCAAACGAGATCTACGAGAAAGCCATCGTTCCGGCATACTTCGGGGCCCCCTTCAGCGAGGTCGCCGTCGACATCTTGGTGCAGAGCGAAGGTGAGGCTTACCTGGTGGGCGTGATCGAGGAGAGCCTCTACCCGGGCGACGAGCCCAGGGTCCTCATGTTCCCAGGCAACCAGTACCGGGTGGGCGCGGACGAGGAGCGGAACACCAAGGGCATCTTCGTGGCCCGCGAGCGCACGCACATCAAGCAGTTCCCTGGCAGCGGCCAGTTCCCGTGGAGCCTGGACCAGGAGGACGACGGCGCGGCTCCGGGAGGCCGCGCGGCCGAGGCCGCGCCCGTGCAGCACCCGCACGCCGTGCCGGTGCAGGAGCCGAGGAGGGAGATCGCGGGGCCCGACAAGTTCGGCTGGGTGGAGCAGAGATACGACCTGGAGGAGGAGCTGAAGAACCGCATGATCGGGAGCCTGAAGAACGCGGCGGCGCGCTCCACGTCGCAGGGGCTGCGCACGCGGTTCGACATGGACGCCCAGGCGGCGCAGCGCCTGGTGGAGGGCAGAGCGGACCGTGGCGGGGCCAACAGGAGCGAGGGCGCGCTGAAGGCCGCGCAGATCCAGGCCGACCAGGCCGTGCGCGACAGGCAGAGGGAGGAGGCCCTGATCCTCGAGGAGCAGCGCGCCCGGAAGGTGAAGCACGAGCTGGAGACCATCGACCGCGCCGTGGCGGCCGCCGAGGCAAAGGAGGAGGACAAGCGGACGATCCACGACAGCATCGCGAGAAAGGAGAAGGAGGACGACGACGAGCTCTGGGGCTGGCCCTGCGACCCGCCCAAGGGGAGCGTGCCCGGCCGGGACGAGCCGCCGATCAAGCTGCTGCTGCGCGGAGGCCACGTGCTCGTCATCTCCCTCGGGGGCGGCGGTGGCAACGCCGCGGCCTCGCCGGGCGCCCCGGGGAGGCGGCTCGGCCTGCACCACTTCGTCCGTGCCCTCCGCACGGGGCGCCGCCACGGCCGGCCAGTCGTGCTCGTCGCCGCCGCGGTGCCGCTGGACTGGGCCGAGGCGGTGGCCGAGGGCGAGGTGTACATCGTGACGGCGCCCCCGCTCTCGTCCACTAGCCTCATGCGCGGTGGTATCCAGCAGGCGTCCGCAGTGGTGATCCACCAAGTCTGTGCCGCCGACGCCAGCGACCCGAGTGCCGTGGACGCCGAGACCATCTTTGCCTGCCACCTGGCGGACTCCATGGTCAAGGATGCGGGGGGGAAAGCGCCCGTGATCTGCGATTTGATGCTCGAGAAGAACGCGCCATTCATATCCCAGTCCATGCAGGTGCGGGAGTCGGAGAAGGACAAGGACAAGATTGATGACGAAGAGGAATACCTCAAGCTGAATGAGGAGAATGTGATGCCTTTCATTATGCAGATGCGATTCGTCCTTGGCCAGATGTTTACCTCCACACTGTCGATCAGCCTTGCGGCGAACATGCTCTACAACCGCGGCCTGGCATCCATATTTCGTGAGATGATGCGCTCTCCGTACGTGATACTGCCCATGCCGGTCGGTGCACGCTGCAACACGTTTGGGGAGCTCGTGAAGTTCTTTGTGCGCAAGAAGAATAGATTACCGATGGCGCTCGTTCGCCGCAACGACGTTCTCACCTGGGACGAGGAGGAACTCGAGGATGAGATCCAGAGGCAGTCAGAGCTCGCTGCGTCGAAAGCGACCAAGCCCGTTGAGTCGGCCGACGGCAAGACGGCGGAGCCAGCCCCCGCTGCTCTCCCAGACGTCCCGATCAATTTCATCGAGAACCCCTTCGCGGCGTTGGCGCAGTCCGCGCTAGTCAGCGAGGCTTTCGTGTCGCCGGCGAAGCTCGCGGACTTCCGCGAGAGGTACTCGAAGAGGCTGGACGGCGAGTTCGTCCCCGCGGTGAAGTGGTCTCCAGAGGAACCGCACTCCCAGCGCCACATCTACACCATTCGAAGAAGAAAACACGGCACCGCCATAGATATTCGGAGGTCCGCGCGCCCTTCTTGGATCGGCGCCACACCCCCCGCCCTGGTGCGCCAAGGGCGCCAGAGGCACCGCCAGGGAGTGCAGCGCCGATCCAAGAGCTTCGCGCGAACCTCCGAAAGCTTATGCCTGTGCGCCTGTCTCTTCCTCTAGCCATGCCGGAGGGGAGCTGCCTCCTCGACGGCACCGACGGGATCTTGTGCGTCATGCCGCCAGACGTTCCTGTCGGCTGACCGGCTCGCGGAGCTCTTCCTCTTCGGGGGCGGAAAAGGGAGGGTGATGACTAGGAGGGGGTGGATATCATGGCGTGGGCCATGATCTTTCGCCAGAGTTTATGGCGCCTCTCCTTGTCTCATTGCGCCCCTGGGCCCCCCGCTGGGCCGCGCACATGCCGCCGGTCATGATTTGCACCCCCCCCTCTTGGACACCCCCTTCTTGGCCGCTCCCCAGGCAGGCCACAACTCGGGGAGCTGTGGTCCTTACCCCCCTGGGGGACCCATCGATTTCGACACCACTCTCGAGAGATCGTCGATGCGATGGGTTCCCCCAGGGGGGTAAGGACCACAGCTCCCCCAGTTATTGCTGGGCCGCTCCCGACCTCTGGCCGCGCCCGAGGGCGGCTGCCTCCTCGGCGGCACCGACGGCATCCCGTGCCGCGTGCCGCCGGACACCCCGCGCGGCGGGCCGGCCCGCGGAGCGGCGAGCCGACCCGCCCCGGCGCGGCGAGGGAGCGCCGCGGCGCGTGCGGCTCGCCTGAAGTCGGGCCTGTCCCTCTACAGGGGGAATATCCAAGAATCGTCTAAAAATCGTCGGGGGACTATTGTTTTATTTTTTGTTGTTTTGATTTTTATTGTTTATAATATATATATATATATATATGTATATATGTATATGAATATACAATAATAATAATAATAATAATAATAATAATAATAATAATAACAATAATTATAATGATAATAATAATAATAATCATAATCATAATCATAATAATCATAAGAATAATAATAATAGTAATAATAATAACAATAATAATAATAGTAATAATAATAATGATAATATATATATAGTAATGATAATGATAATAATGATAATAAGCATAATAAGAATAAGACTGCTAATAATGATAATAATAATAATAAAACTAAAAAATAGAGAGAACAAAAATGGAGTGTTTTCCGAATATTTGTTTTTATTGTTCGTCGAAGATCCCCCTGCAGGGGGACACGCCCGACTGAAGGCTCGCCTCTCCGCGGCCTTCGCGTCGACGAGCGGCGAGCACGGCCGCACCGGGGGTCTCACCAGCGAGAGGGCAGGGATCGGGGGCAACGTTCGGGCTCGAGGTCCGAGGTTCGAGCGCGTCTTCATGGGTTCTCGGCGGTTCCCGGGCAGGGATCGGGGGCAACGTTCGGGCTCGAGGTCCGAGGTTCGAGCGCGTCTTCATGGGTTCTCGGCGGTTTCCCGGCCTCGGGATGCTCTCACGGCGGCTGCGCCTCGCCGAGAGCGTTCCGGGGCTGCCTGCATCGTCCAGAGCGGTTGCTGGAGCGTGCGGGTTCGCCTCCGGGGGCCCAGCGCCGGCATATCGGCGATGCATCGCCGTATCCAGGTCGGTGTTTCCCCCCCTGAGCCGCTCCCCCCTGTCGTTCCCTCCCAGGGGAGGAGGAGCAGGAGGAGGAGGAGGAGGAGGATGAGCAGGAGGAGCAGGAGGAGGAGGAGGAGGAGGAGGAGGGGCGACCTCCTCGGGCTCGGCACGCGGCGCGCAAGAAGAGCAGGCGGCCCCACAGCAAACGAGGTGGCGACGAGAGAGAGAGAGGGGGGGAGGGGCTCTGCACTGCAGCAGTCTGCGCGCCGTTGAAAGAGAGGGGGGGGGCTACAGTCGGGGCCCTGAAGAAGGAACCCTTTTCGTTGGGGAGGGGCTCCGTGTTCCTTAGTTGTTTCACAGTTTGCCTCAGGTTTTCCTTATGTTTGCGATCGGAAATCGAAGTTTAACTTGTGGAAAACAGGGGCCTCGTTCCTTATTTAGGATTCCTTAGGTCAACGCCCCGACTGTACAATTACGGTGGGCTTTCGGTGGCCAATTGCAAGATGGGGTGCACTTACAAAACTCAGATCAGGGACGCTAGCGTGTCGCAGTCGTCCAGGAGCGCGTCTGACTCCAGGCATCGGAAGAAGAAAACATGTCGGGCAGTCACCAATGACTCACACCATCAACTCCCACACGATGGCAATCCGCGCCGTCAAGACCGAAAGCTCTGAAAACACAAGCCGCGATGCTGCAGAAAGCCTGCCCAGGTACAAGAATAACGATACCGACCAGCGGCCACATCACGTGCCCACGGGGTCCACAGCCAACGGCAAGACAGCAACGCCAAAGTCCTTAAAGAGAGAGAGAGAGAGAGGAAGGAGGAGGGAAGAAAGGCAGATCCGTGCGCGCGCTCCTGCGAAAGCGTGCCGCGAGGGGCCCGCTCGAGTGCTCGTGTGCAGCCGTCGGACCTTGCTTCAGCTCATCTGCGGCTTATGTCCGAAGGATTGCAAAAAAAACCCTTGAACGAAGGATTGCAAAAAAACCCTTGAACGAAGGGTTTTTTTGCAATCCTTCGTTCCTGTGGCCTTGCGATGTCACCCACGGCCAGGGTACCCAGTGGCGGTGACCTGGCCTTCGTTGCCTGCCTCTCTTCCCCGGCGGCCGCTGCTTCCTCCGACCCCCCATCCCCGCCCCGTGTGTGTCCCTCGCGCCTCTCTGGCTCTTCTCGCTTCCCTACGATAATGCGGAGCCAGGCTACGGACCTCCCCCCCCTCCTCCTCCTCCTCCTCCTCCTCCTCCTCCTCCTCCTCCTCCTCCTCCTCCTCCTCCTCCTCCTCCGCTTCCTGGCGCTGGGCCGCGCTCCTCGGGGGCTGACCCGGGCCGCGGCCCCGGCGGTCTTGTAGGGGCAGCCAGAGGCTCCAAGATGGCTTTGCGGAGGGCCCCCGAGAGCCACAGGTCGCCTAAGTCGTTCGGACGTGGCGCATGTTCGTCCATTCCCCACTTTGCGGCCCAGGATGGTCCCACGATGGACTCCAGAGGCATTCGAGCGAGCCCGAAAGGCAGCAACGGACATCCCAAGACAACCCAAGATGTTCCCTGGGCAGCCCCGAGACGGCCCCCAAAGGCTCCAAAGCTGGCTTCGACGGCCGCCCAAGACAGCGCCAGGGCGTCCCAAGACCGCCCCCCCAAAAGCGGCCCCGAGGCCCACCCAGACGGTCCGAAGAACCCCCCACCCCCACCCCTCAAACTGGATGTTAGATTTGCCAGGAGGGGAACCAGGAGATGTGTGGCAGCCAAAGCGTCTCACTCACCTTCTCACCTCCAGCAAGCCGGGGCCAGCGGATTCTGTCGAGGCGGGGCGGGTGGTTCACGAAAGTGCGCCAGTGGATCTCTTTGAATACACTAAAGGGGGGAGGGGGGTGCAGAACCCCCCCCTCCCCCCCTCCCCCCCTTAAGGGGGGGGAGGGTCCGAACCCCCCCTCTCCCCCCCCCCCCTTGAAGGGTGAGGGGGGTCCGGACCCCCCCCCCCATCCCCCCCTTGGCGCTGGAAAGGGGGGGGGGGGTCAGATCCCCCCCCCCTCCCCCCCTTTGCGCCGGAAAGGGAGTCAGGGATGGGAGGCCTCTCTCGCTTTTCTTTTCTGCGCCGGAGAAGGTGTGTAGGGAGTACGGAGTTGGAAGTAGGGAGTGGTGAGTAGTGCGTAGTGAGTTAGTGCGCAGTGAGTAGTGAGTATTGGGTAGTGAGTAGGGGGTAGTGAATGGCGAGTAGGGAGTAGGGAGTAGGGAGTGGGGAATAGTGAGTAGTGAGTAGTGAGTTGTGTGTATTGATAAATGAGTAGTGAGTGGCGAGTAGCGAGTAGTGAGTACTGAGTAGGGAGTAGGGAGTTGGGAGTAATGAGTAGTGGGTAGTGAGTAGTGGGTAGTGAGTAGTGGGTGGCGAGTAGTGATTAGTGAGTAGTGAGTAGTGGATAATGCGTAGTGCGTAGTGAGTAGTGAGTAGTGAGTAGTGAGTAGTGAGTAGAGAGTAGCGAGTAGTGAGCAGTGAGTACTGAGTACTGAGTACTGAGTAATACGTAGCGCGTAGTGAGTAGTGAGTAGTGAGTCGTGATGAGTAGAGAGTAGTGATTGCTGGCAGTGGGTAGTGAGTAGGGAGTAGCGAGTAAAGGGCAGCGAGTAGTGAGTAGTGAGGAGCGAGTAGGGCGTAGTGAGTAGTGAGTAGAGAGTAGTCAGTAATGAGTAGTGGGTAGTGATTAGTGAGTAACGCGGTGGGAGTAGTGAGTAGTGAGCAGCGAGTAGGGAGTAGGGAGTAATGAGTAGTGCGCAGTGGGTAGTAAGAAGTGGGTAGCGAATAGTGGGTAGTGAGTAGCGATTAGTGAGTAGCGAGTAGTGGGTAGGGAGTAGTGACTAGTGACTAGTGAGTTGTGACTGGTGACTAGAGACCATGTAGTGACTAGTGAGTAGGGAGTAGTGGGTAGCGGGGAGTGAGTAGTGAGTATTGAGTAGCGAGTATGGGAGTAGCGAGTAGTGAGTACTGAGTACTGTGTGGTCAGTATTGTGTAGGGAGTAGGGAGTAGCGAGTAGTGGGTAGTGTAGTGATTTGTGGGTAGTGAGTGGTGGATAGTGGGTAGTGGGTAATGAGTAGTGATTAGTGACTCGTGAGTAGGGAGTAGTGACTAGTGCTTAGTGAGTAGTGAGTATTGAGTAGTCGGTAATGAGGAGTGAGTAGGGAGGAGGGAGTAGTGAGTAGGGAGTAGTGAGTAGGGAGGAGGGGGGGGGGTCCCCGACGACGGATCCAGGAAAGGGGGGGGGAGGGGAGGGGGTCCCCGACGACGGATCGGGGAAGGGGGGGACGGGGGGGGTGGGGTTCCCCGACGACGGATCGAGGAAAGGGGGGGGGGAGGGGGGGGGGTCCCACCCCACCCCCCTTGGGGTTATCCAGTTATCCAGCGGCGCACCCTCGTGGTTCACCGGTGTTTCGCAGCATGCCATCCATCAGCCGCGAGATTTCGGGTCCCCCACCCACAAGGTATCGTACCGCGCTTCCGCTGCAGCGGGAAGGCTTCATTCGATCGAGCGCAACCCCGATCCTTCCGAAGATAGCGTCGGGCTTGTCTCATACAGCCGCGGCGGGCATGCTCGAGCGGCACCGCGCGAGCCCAGGCGCCGATCGCGCAGCAGGTCTCGGAGGAGTCCAAGACCTTCTCGGCGCCGCCCCCGCCCCTGTTCTCGCTCCCTCCTCTCCCGCATGGCTTCCTCCAGTGGGGGGGGCCTCGCGCCGCGCTCCAGCTCTGCCAGCCCGGGGCTTGCTTGACCCAGCTTGGGACTTGCACTTCGGCGCAGTTGCTGGCTGTCTTGGCATCGCTCGGACACGTGCATGCTTCTCGGCAAGGACCATCGAGGAGAATATTGGAGCATCTTGCGGGGCGGGAAAAAACGCACTGAATCGAAAAATGCACGGAATGGACGTCCCAGCGATGGCAAGGTGTTGTCCGTGCTTCGTGCCATTGCGCCTGGTGCACGCGAAGCCGCGTGCGGGTGTCGAGGGGCAGCACCTCGCCCTCGGGCCTGAGCGATGTTCTGCTGCTCCTGTTGCTGCCGACAGGCGGCGCGGCGGGGTGTCCCGTCGCGGTGTCTTGGCGGCGTCGTCTGGAGCTGTTCCGATGGCATGTTGGGCTGTGGTCTGATCGGGTCCCAGCGGCGGTTGGGGTCCCGAGTGAACTTCGGTGGTGCGCCAGTGGTGTCAGTGTTGATGCTGGATGCTCGACGATGCCCCGCCAGGCTTCGATGGTGTCCCTGTTGCGGCCGATGCTTCCCCGATGAATGTAACGATCGCGTTTCGAAATTGTTGGCGATGGTATTCATGATAGCGGCCATGATCTTGCAACATAGTAGACGAGATATTCCGCATGATGGTTGCCGATGATGCGACGCGTATGATGTGCATAATCATGATGTTGATGAGCTCACCAGAGCGTGGTTTGAAGTGTGCAGGCCAAGCGTGGAGTTGATCCAGGCCGCTCGATGATGCTCACACAGTCAAAAATCATGTAGAACACAGAGTGCTTGTAGCGGAGGGGGCGCAGGAATCAGCACGCGAAGCATGTCCGAGGGATCCAACCCGTTCTCGACGTCCAATCAAGCTTAAAGGCTCATTGATTTACTGAAGGACCCATGGGTGATTCGACAGAGGCTTGGTTACGTGCGTGGACATCCAAAGAACGCGTTGTTGTTACGAACATTGTTTGTCCGCAAGCCAGTGGGGAAGCAAGTAACGTACATTCACAGCAATGGCTCCGAGAAACAACACGATCACATCCTTCGCTCAGACGCCTTTTCCAGCAATGCCGCAACGCGGAGGCGAACAGCGCAGTGGATTTAGATTCAGACCACAAGGCTGTGGTCGCGCACTTCTGCTTCCAGCGACGCATCTCCACCGACGGGTAGGCGCATGACGAGCAGCACCAACCCAAGCACAAATCGCGAAGCACGACCACCCGCAGTTGGGCCAACGCCAACACTGAGGCGTATCACACGAGGGCCAAAGAGGCCATCTCTGCAACAAGCCTACCCCGACCGCCAGAAGAGCTGAGCAACCGTATGGAGACATCCACACTGGAAGCTACGACAAAAAGCACTGCGGAACCGGCGCACATTGAGACATCCACATTGGAAGCTACGACCAGTTTGCGACTCCAGGAGCTGATCCAGCAGCGGCGCAACATCCAGAATGACAACACGCAGTCCCGACACTACGTCAGCAAGCAGATCCGACAAGAGATACCACGACAAAAACGTGCAGCACGACGTACTCAGATCAGCACCGTTCTCGAGGATTACCGTGGGCTCAAGCGCATCACGACCATCAAATCAGGGCGGAAACGTGCACTAATCACGGACATGCGCGCCAAGGACGACACGAAGCACATTAGCAGAGACTCAATTGCGAACGTTTTTGCAGATTTCTACGAGCAGTTGTATCACTCCACGCGACAATCTTCACCACCAGAGGCTTCTGACGACACGGTGCTACCCTTCACAGTTCATGAGCTCAACAAGGGACTGTCCAACCTCAAGCGGGGAAAAGCGCCCGACGCGAGTGGGAGCAGAGCCGAAATGTTGAAGCATTCCCCCGTTGAGCTCAAACGAGCCGTACTCCAATTATACAACACTGTCATACAACCTGGTGCGCCTATTCCGAAGAGCTGGCGACAGACAGTCATTACAGTAATCCCGAAAGCAGGCGACCTCACGCAACCCCAGAACTACAGACCAATCTGCACCGTACCCCTGCTCTACAAGCTTTTCAGCAAGCTTCTAATAGACTGCAGCCGCTCTTGCACAAACAACAGCCTCCAGACCAAGCTGGATTCCGCCCGGGACGTTCGACGCAAGATCACCTCGTCACTTGCCACATGTTTCGCCAGAGAGCGCGGGAATGGAACCAACCACTTTGGATAGCGACGCTGGACTTTAAGAAGGCCTTGGACACGGTTGAGCACGGAAGCCTCTGGACCGCATTCAAGAGCCAGGGTGTCGCGCCAGGCTACATCGACTTACTCCAGAAGCTGATTTCCGACCAAACAGCCTTGGTGCGGACAGGCACGACCAGCCGCCCATTCAACCTACAGAGGAGCACGAAGCAGGGCGACCCCCTTAGCTCACTACTTTTCAATTCGCTTCTTGAGCACATCATGCGCCCACTTGTCACCGCATGGAAAAAGCACAACCTAGGTGTCCAACTCGGCTTCGCCACAGACTGCTCTCTCACCAACCTGCGCTTTGCCGACGACCTCCTTCTGACGAGCCGCGTCTTACCGCATCTGACAAAAATGCTTGAACAAATAGCCGCAGCCGCGCAACAACACGGTCTCCACATCCACCCAGGCAAGACGAAGATTTTGGCGAATTTTACTAAGAGGACAGGGAGAGCACGGCAGCACAAGGTGAACATCAACAGCATGGAGATTGAGATGTTACCCCACAGTGGGTCAGTCAAGTTCTTGGGGCAGCAGATAAGCTTCCACGACGCCATGCATACAGAGGTGCAGCACCGGATGAAGGCAGTATGGGCAGCTTTCACAGCTCATAGACAAGAATTAATCGCGAAGCACTACCCCTTGAAACACAGACTCCGGCTCTTCGAAGGCACTGTCACACCGACAGTACTACATGGGGCGGCCACTTGGACTCTGACCGAGCCTTTACGACATCAGTTACGATGCCCCCAACGACGCATGTTACAAATGCTTGTCGGTTCACCGCGACGACGCAGCACCGCCGACGCGAGACCGACGCCCAGCACGACCAACCAACACAAGACACAAACGACGACTGACCCGCAATCCCACCAAGACGACACGCACGGAGAAGCCACGCGCAATCGACCGCCAGCTGCCAACCCAAACGCAGATACCAGCACAGCACACATCCCCAACACCGACAACGAAAAGAACGTCGCACGAGAAAGCTCTGTCGTGGAACCATGGGTCGAATACACCAAACGAACGACAAGACAAGCAGAAAGCCTAATGCACAAGCACAATATCAGCGATTGGACCATGAAGCAGCGACGAATGATATGGAGATGTGCCGCGGGAGTGGCGAAACAGTCACCTCGAGAATGGTCTCAACGCGTGGTTAACTGGCACCCAAGCCTCCATACCTCGCAAAATGGGCGCAGAAGTCTAGGAAGACAACACAAGCGATGGGACGATGACGTGCGCGATTTTCTTGTATCCCATTGGGTGCAAGAGCGACCCGCCCAGAGCAGCTACGACGTGGACGACATCGATTGGCTCAAACTGGCGACCGACGACGGAATTTGGGCGACACTGGAGACACAAGTCGTCATGCGCTCCATTCCTGACATCCCCGCGAAACCGTAACATCCGATTTTCCACCCGCACTTCCACCTATCGACCTGCAGCGTCGACCAACTCAGCACTTCGACCTCCAACCGCTAGCATCCGACTCTCTTCTTCGACCTTCAGCGTCCACCAGCTCAGCGTTCCGACCTCCAACCTCTAGCATCCGACTTTCCACTTCCACCTCCACCTCTCGACTTCCAGCGCCCACCAGCCCAGCATTCCGGCCTCCAACCTTCAGCATCCGACACTCCACCTCCACCTCCACCAATGGAATTCCAGCGTCGAGCAGCTCAGCCTTCTTACAAACATTCAGCATCCGACCCTCCCTCCACCTCACCGCCACCAACGCCGGACGCCGAAAAAGCAGCACGACCCCAAAGACACTACATGGTTACTACCGGCTACGACAGAGGAGGGGGGAACATTTGGACCAGCAGAATGTCGCGAAGTATGCATTTTTCTGAATAGGCGCCTGACGCGCGCAATTTCTCATGCGAGGCCATGGCGTCACCCGCCTCGCCCTCAAGGGGCCCGGGCGCACGCTCGCATAGACGCTCTATTATATTCGGTTACATTCCCATGCAAGCAACGAATCAATTTGGCTGGTCCGAGAGAGGCCGCGTCGTCAAGTGAGCAAGGGGTTGGCCTCACCCCTCGGCGAAATCTGGCAGAAGATTTGTGGGAGCCAGCGGAATTGACACAAAGATAGGCTTGCTGGAAGCCAGCGAGAGTACGAGCTGAAACCCCCTCAGGAGTTCAAGACAGGCGTCGGCTTACGTCTGCCCGCCTGGTTCGGAAATCCCACCTCCTGAGGCGCAGTGCACCTCGACGAGCCCAGCTCGGCTCCCCAGGCTTTGAGAGGGGAGAGTTGGGTCTTATTCGTTGTTGACGAACGCGCAGTAGGCACGTAAAGTACGAGACCGGCTTGCCAGCAAGCCTTCTCCATCTCCTCCCTCCTCCACTGGGAGTGGGTCGGCAAGACCACAAGACCACATCCTTGTGACCAGGCCTTTGCCACGGACCAATACTTGAAAGTCCCAGAGGCGAGATCGGCCCCCGGGCGATCGAAGTACAAGCACAAAGACGCCCTCTGTGATGTTTCCTATCCCTCCTCTCTCTCCTCCCTCCTCGACTGGCGAGGTGTTCACCAAGATGCAGAAGTCGGCCAACGTGCAGCAAGACGACCTCACAAAGGCGCTGGACCTACTCGGCTTCAACAACGTGAACCCAAATCGTGTGGACCAGGCGACCTCCTCACCGTTGTGCAGCTGGGGACAGGAGGGGAGGCAGGAGGAGAAGGAGGAAGAGGAGGGAGGAAAGGGGGTAGGGAGGAGAGGGGATTCTTTTCTGGAGGTTTGGGGCGTCCTGGGGGCCATCGAGATCCAGGGGGGTCAGTGGAGGGTGACAGGAAGTAGGAGGATGGTGGAGGTGGGAATGGTAAGTTTTATGTTCTTTAAACGGAATTCTGGATGGCGCTCCGGGGATCTACGGGGCGCTCCTTCTCCTCATCCTCTTCATCGTCATCCTCATCCACATCCCCATCCTCATCCTCATCCTCATCATCCTCCTCCTCGTCCTCCTCCTCGTGCTTCTCCTCCGCCTCCTTCTTCTCCTCCTCCTCCTCATTCTCTCATCCGTTTTCAATTTGCTCATCACCTCGTTTACTCATTCGCGGGACCAGAAGGATACATCTTCGCACAGCAGGGCATGGCGGAAGGGTTCCGCCAGAACCCGTTGGGCCCCCCATAAAAAAAAACATGTGAGGATGGTTTTTGGCGGGTGTCTCCCTCCCGGAACCCCCTTTCAAGATAGTTTTTTTGCGGGATCTTCGCGGGCGTGTCCTCCAGACCCCTCTGAGACCCCCCCGAGCAACAACAAAAAATGTATACATTTTTTTGTGGGGGGATCTGCCACAGACCCCCCTCGAGGGTTTTTTGTTAGGTATTTTGGGAGGGGGGTCCCCGGAAAGGTTTTTTTTGTTTGTTCGTTCGGAAGGGTTCCCCCGATTTTTCGGGAACCCGCCCAGAAAAAATCCTCAAGAGGAGTTGCTTGAAGGCTTTCGCCCCAGAACCCTGTTTAAAATGATGTTGACAACTGTCGGGTGAAATCTGCTGACGCCCTGGGACCCACCTCCCCCCCAAAAAAACGTCGAGAGTTTGTGTTTAGGGTATCCCTCCCAGAGGTGAATGGAGTTTGGGGAGGTTCCCCTGGACCTCTCCAGACTCCTTCCCCGAAAAAACTATACGATTTGTTCTTCGGGCTTCCCCACAGGAACCGCCCTCGAGAGTGTTTTGTTGTCCCAGAGCTTCGCATGCGCATACCCAGCACACGTAAAGTGGCCCCACAGCGAGCTCCTCCGAAGCCTCCAGGAGGGAGGTCGCATGCTGTTCCCCGACCATTTCAGCACACCCATCACACGCTTCGTGGCCCCACACGGAGCTCCACCGAAACTCTTTGGGGGAGAACCGCATGCGGTTCTCGCTCATTTCGGCACACCCCTCACACACTGCGTGGCCCCACGGGGAGCTCCATCGAAGCACTCAAGGGAGGGGGAGGGGTGCATACAGTGCCCCACCCATTTCGGCACACCGTTCACACCTTCCGTGGCCCGACACGGAGCTCACCGCCGAAGGCCCCAGCGGTAGCGCGTACATGCGTCCCCGCGCTCACTCCCGCACACCCCTCGCACGCCTCGTGGCGGCCCCATAGGGGGGCTTCAACGAAAGCGGTACCCACAGCGCAGTGCTCAACACTGCATATGACTGAGTCTTTCGCCAGGATATATATATATATATATATATATATATATATATGTATTCCCAACCATCCTGTGGTGTTGGGCCCTCGTTTTGAAGAGACGGTCCCCGCGCTCTCCTTCTCTCCTCCTCTTCCCACTCCTCCACCGTCGGCATGCGTCCCCCACACCCAGTACAGCGTTTCGTGGCCCTCCTCCCCCTCCTCCCTGCGCTTCACCCACCCAGTACAGCGCTTCGTGGCCCCATAGGGAGCCCCACCGAAGCTCCCAGTGCTACCGTCCGCATGCGTCCCGCACGCCAAGTACAGCGTTTCGTGGCCCCATAGGGAGCCCCACCGAGGGTCCCAGTGCTACCGTCCGCATGCGTCCCGCACACCCAGTACACCGCTTCGTGGCCCCATAGGGAGCTCCACCGAAGGTCCCAACGCTACCGTCCGCATGCGTCCCGCACACCCAGTACAGCGTTTCGTGGCCCTCCTCCCCCTCCTCCCTGCGTTTCACCCACCCAGTACAGCGTTTCGTGGCCCCATAGGGAGCCCACCGAAGTCCCAGTGCTACCGTCCGCATGCGTCCCGCACACCCAGTACAGCGTTTCGTGGCCCCGTAAGGAGCCCCACCGAAGCTCCCAGTGCTACCGTCCGCATGCGTCCCGCACACCCAGTACAGCGCTTCGTGGCCCCATAGTGAGCTCCACCGAAGGCCCCAGTGCTACCGTCCGCATGCGTCCCGCACACCCAGTACAGCGTTTCGTGGCCCTCCTCCCCCTCCTCCCTGCGTTTCACCCACCCAGTACAGCGCTTCGTGGCCCCATAGGGAGCCCCACCGAAGCTCCCAGTGCTACCGTCCGCATGCGTCCCGCACGCCAAGTACAGCGCTTCGTGGCCCCGTAGGGAGCCCCACCGAAGGTCCCAGCGCTACCGTCCGCATGCGTCCCGCACACCCAGTGCAGCGTTTCGTGGCCCCATAGGGAGTTCCACCGAAGGCCCCAGTGCCCCCGTCCGCATGCGTCCCGGAAGCCCAATTTGGCATTTTCACCCACCCAGTGCAGCGTTTCGTGGCACCATAGGGGGCTCCACCCAAGGCCCCAGTGCCACCGTCCGTATGTGTCCGGAAGCCCAATTTGGCATTTTCACCCGCGCAGTGTAGCATTTCGTAGCCCTGTAGGGGGCTCCACCGAAGGCCCCAGTGGGACCGTCCGCATGCGTCCCGGAAACCCACTTTGGCATTTTCGTTCACTCAGTGGCCCCATAGGGAGCTCCACCGAAGCCCTCAGTGGGACCGTCCGCATGCGTCCCGGAAACCCACTTCGGCACACCACCTACAGCATTCCCCTCCGCCCAGTGCAGCGCTTCGTGGCCCCATAGGGAGCTTCACCGAAGCAGATATTCACAATTACGGTACCCACAATTGCACATGGTTGGGACCTTCGCCAGGAAATTGTTTTTGGGGGGTCCCCCAGAACATCTGGAACCCCCCTAAAAAATCAGTTGAGAGGTTCTTTTTGCAGGGTTCGGTTGCCATGAACTCGTCTGGGAATCAATTTCGCCGAAACGACATTTCTGCCCAAGGTTAGCGCTCCTCGCTGGGTAGCGCCAGCTCGGCACGAGTCGTGCGAAGTCACGGGGCGAGTTGACGCGCGACCCCCGAGCGCACCCCGCGGCAGGTACGGGGTTGCGCGTTGCGCCGGGGTTTGCCGCAGCGCGCGCTGCGCGGGCGGGGTGCGCTGTCCTTTTCTGCTGCGCGTCTTTGTGCTGGTGGTGGAAGATGGATTGCAAGCGAGCTCGGAAGTGGAGCGCGGTCGCATACCGCCGCGTGCGCCGGCCCGTCGCCCGCGCGCGTCGTCCGCGGCCGCGTCGCGCGCGTTGCGGCCTCATCTCCCGCCGCCCCGCGCGCGCGCGCCGGCTCCGCGCTTCGCCTTCTCCTCCCTTTGCAGGTTCCGTTTCCCTCCTCCTTCCGTACCGTGTGTCCTCGTCGCACTTTGCTGGGCTCGATGGTCAGGACGTCGTCTTCGGGGCGCGTTTGCGCCTTGGCCCCTGGCGGCCAGTCGGCGCCACGCTCCTTATGGAGCTTTTCTGGGCCTGTCGCGCCCTGACCTTAGAGGTCACACCATTCGAACAGGTTGCACCGCGCTCTACGTGGAACTACTCCGGGCCTGTCGTGCCCCGACCCTAGCGGCCCCACCTTTCGACCAGGTAGCGCCGCGCCCTACGTGGTGCTTTGGATGGGCCTGTCGTGCCCGGACCCTAGCAGTCCCTCCGTTCGGCCAGGTTGTGCCGCGCGCTACGTGGAGCTTTGCTGGGCCTGTCGAGCCCCGACCCATGCGGCCCCAACATCGGCCAGGATGCGCCGCGCCCCACGTGAGCTACTGTGGGCCTGTCGTGCCCTGGCCCCCCTGGGCCTGTCGCGCCCTGGTCCTCAGCGGGCCCACCATTTGGCCAGGTCGCACAGCGTCCTACATGGAGCTCTTCCACGGGCCCGTTCGCGCCCTGGCCCTTGGCGGGCCCCTCGTTCGGCCAGTGTGCAATGGCCCTTCGTTCAGTTCCCCAGTGCATTGCTCGCTGGCGGCGGGCGCGCTCGGCCCGCGCGCGGGCCAAATGACGTCGCTCGCGCGCAAGGGCTTGCTCTGCGCGCGCGGTTCGCGGGCGCAGTTCGCAGAGGCCACGCGCGGGCGCAGAAGTCAGCGCTTCGTTTCGGGCCACCGCGGGCCATGGCGCAGTCGCGCGAGCTGCTCGAGCTTCTTCGCGCTGCCCAGCGGAACACGGGCAGCGACCCGAAGTCATTTTTGGCGGGCTGCGTGGCAATTTGCGAGGAAAACGAGGCGCGCCATTTTGCCCGCCGCAACGTCTGCGGCGCGCGCCGAGCAGCGCCGCGCTCAGGTTTTCGAGCCGGCGGCGCTCCATGGCCCCAAGGCTGAGTCGCTGACCGGCGCAGGGGCCACAGCTGGCAAGAAGTCGTTTCTCTGCGCGGCCGCAAAGCAGTTTCGCGCGGCCAAAAACACAGAAGATCGCGAGTCGGCCGTTGCCCGCGCACGCGAGACGGCCCCAGGAGGGGGCGGGGCGCAGGGCGGGGACGCGCTCCGCGAATTGACGTCGCTCCCGCGGAAAGAAGAGCCCGTGGCCCACGTCGACATCGGGAAGGAATTGTTGACGCTTCGCTACGCTTCACGGAAAACACACACACAGAGACACACACACACAGACACACACACACACACATACACACACACACAAACAAAAAAAAATGCTTTCGGGACATGGACTACGGGCTGCTGACCACGCCGACTTGCGGGCCTCCGCTTGGGCCGTGGCCCACCTGTCCCCCACTTTGTTTCGCCCTAGATGTGTCTGCCGCGTTCCCCGCTGTGGCCGCCGACCGACTCGCAGGCCGGGCTCCTACCCTGGCGCCCCGCCCTGCCCAGCCCCCGAGCCCCCCGTCCTTGGGCACTTGAGCAGCGGCTCGCTGTTCATACTAACTCGTGGGCAGCTGCTGC